CATAAGAGAGAATATCAATACGCAGTCACAAATGTAGTATATTAAGTCATTACAGTTCATCATTACTGTGTGAGTGTATATTAGTCACTTGGCTAGTTTATACCAGACAGGTGTCAGCATCGATACTAGCTGCAGAACTGTAGCTCTCTGCTTGAGAAAATTCGGACAGATAAAGCAGAGAGCTACAGATCCAAGCGTTGTAAAAACCTTCGATTTATGCTGACGATTTTTTGTCACTATTTTAGGTATTTATTTCGTGTAGTTTAAGCTTTCTCTGGCTTTTAGAATGGTATCCTATCAATAATTCATATATTTAACTCTTATGTTTCATATTATATTTGCCTTTTAACGGTCCGAAACAGTCCTGTTTATAGTTTTGTAATGTCGGTGAAAAAGAGTTTTCTTTCGACATCCGTGACCACAAACAGCCATTTGTTAGCGTTTAGAGGTAAGTAAATCATCAGGAATTGAAATTTAATGCATGATTAATTATTGAGTACATTTTAAAATTAATTTCAAAGCTGTGGAAATTATAAAATACAAGAAAAAATAACTGTAGTGAGCGACGAAAAATCGTCGGCGTAAATCGAAGGTTTTTACAACGCTTGGATCTGTAGCTCTCTGCTTTATCCGTCCGAATTTTCTCAAGCAGAGAGCTACAGTTCTGCAGCTACATCGATACAAGGCCAATTGTCAAGAGGCACCAGACAGGTGACATTTGATGTAAATAAAGGAAATTTGAAAATGGGAATGGCCTTATACGGCATAGGGACTTGCCTTCCTGATTGATAAATGTAAAATAATTCTTTAAAAAATCTGTATCTACATAAAATACACTCCCTCTAAAAGTTGCTTTATTAAAGATTCTGTCATGATCAGGCAAGAAAAATAATGTTCAAAAAAAGTACTGCACCTTGAGAGTTTAAGTATATAGAATGATGTAATACTATTTTTAAAAACATTATTTTTCTCGCCTGATCATTTCAGAATCTTTAATTATCAAAGGAACTTTAAGAGTGTATTTAATGTAGATACAGATTAAAAAAAAATATTTTACATTTATCAATCCGGAAGACAAGCCCCTATGCTATACGGGGCAGTAGAAAATCCCTGTAGATTCAATAATTTTTACATGGAACATGTGGAGTGTGAACAAACAATGTAAGCATTTTATTAGATGTTTAATGTTACAATTAAGGGATGTAATGTATTACCTGAGCCAACAGGAATGACACTTCCATACACTGTATAGAAGTGCCTTGACATTGAAACTGTAATGCTCCTCCCGACCTCGGCTTTGGCCTTTGAATTGTGCCTTGGGTGTGAGCACGAAGTTTTCTTCCTCCATCTTACACCAAGGGAGTATCGGTGGAAGGGACAGATTAAATAATCCTCGGCCGTGGTAAAAATGCCAGCTCGGAGGCATATTAAATACCCCTCTGATGCTATATTTCCAATATTTAAAAATTTAAGATGGTTTGTAATGTCTTTGTTGCAGTTTTTTATAAGAATCAAATTGTTTTCTTCTGGGCAATGAGGTGAAACTCCACACTCAGACAAAAAAGAAAAACTACAGGACAAATGGTTGTCCATAAAGATCTTTTTTTGATGAAATATATATGTCAATCTCTACTTATTGTAAGTATATAAGTCTCTAAGTACCTGTTCAAAGTCATAATAAACAAAAATCAACCTCTTATCTCCTTCTCACAGAAGAGTGAAATGCATCATTTTCGACTTCTTTACAGAAGAGTGCCAAGGGAGATAACTAGAATTTCATGTTTTTACATAATTTAAAATCACTGTATCTATTCGTAGTTAAAATAACCCATGGGTTTTTAAAATGTTTTTTACTCTTTGACACTGGATGTTCAATATTTTATAATTCACATTCAATGAGAGTGCGGGCTTTTTTAAAAAATCACCTGCACGTACATACACCTTTCAATGGATATTGTTGACTGTTTCAGTATATATTGAATTCATTTTTTAATCAACCGTGCATAAAATCCATTTATAACTGTGATTAAGTATTTAGTTTGATGTATCTTAATGTAAATATGAGGGTTTTTGAAAAATCTATCACTATCATGAATCACTTATTTTTATTTCTGCCTGGTTCTTATAAATAGCTGTACTTAAATATTAATTGAGTCTATAACTACGTTTTTAATTTCTTATGCAAATCAAGATGAACTCAAACACATTCCTCTTAAGGTCCCACATACCTGGTACTTTGTATGATGAGGTAGAAGGTCCATCATAAATGTACAATTGATCGTAACCTGGATCACAGCCATAATAGACGGAACCCTTGATATTCAACTTCCTGACAACAATCATGATTCTATTATGGTTGGTGGTGCTGGTAGAGGCGGGGGCATTGCTCACAGTGACGGTACAGTCCATGTTATTTCTATACTTGCTGTCCTGGGTCAGGTCAAGGCGAATGGAGGGTAGCCCGCTGATTGTGAGTGTTTCCCCACATATTGCATCCAAGTAAACTGTATTTTACAAAAAAGTAAGTTGTAAATAATAAATTACAGTAAATTGTTTTATCTAACACCATTAGATTGATTGACTGATTGTAAATTGTTTAACGTTCCTCTATAGAATTATTCACTCATATGGAGACGCCACCACTTGCCGGTGGAGAGCTGCAAATTTGTCCTCTGTTTGGCATTCGGCCATCGAGCAGTGAGGGATCTTTTTTGTGCCAGCACCTACTGCAACAGGGAACCTCGGTTTATACAGTCTCATCCGAAGGACTGACTCCTTACTTCGCGACTCTAGAGCAGACACTCTAACCACTGCGCCACACGGGCGAATAACACCATTAGAAACATGATACTTAAAGTATTCTAAATGAAATATATGGAGATAACGAGCAGTATTCGAGCTCAAAAGTCCATTAAACAATACAAAATTGGAGCAGAGCAAAAACGGACCTCGATAACATTAAAGGTGGAATCAGGTGCAATGGAGGAGTGAGCATCCTCAGCCGACCGGTCACACTCGCTTAAGTTTTAGAATTCATAGATTTAAGGAATCACTGTCTAGTTTGTATAGTATGCCAGGGCATCAACAATGGTGGGAAACATGGGATAATTTGCATAACGGGCGAAGCCCGTTATGCATAAATTATCCCATGTTTCCCACTATTGTTGATGTCCCTGGCATACTATACTAACTTGACAGTGATTCCATATATTTCCATTTCATTGTGAAATGAAATTGTAGATTTAGACTTTAAAAATGCAGACATATATATAAATTACACGAGGATTCCCATCCCAATTTCAATAGTCCTCGCCCACTGACGTCAAACACAACAGCAGCCGCACGAGATTTACATGCATATTTGGCCTCCTTAACGTCAGACTCAGAGACAGATGGGCACGAGATTTGTAAGCATATTAGGCCTCCTTAGCTCCTGACCTATTGACTTGCCTAATTTACATTCCGGTAGAATTATCAAGAAATTAACTCCGCTAACTTTCAAAGGGTTATCACAGAGAGAAAAATTAGAAATGGAAATATTATAAAACTAACTATAGTTCTCTGAATTCTAAAACTTTATTGTAACACTTGTCATGATCGGGAAATAACGGATAAAACCCGTAGACAATTCAGTGTGTATATTATACTGGCCTAACAATAACTATGAAAAACGTCAGTCAGCATTTGACTTAATGATAAATTGTATTTGCTGACAAGGCCATTGTATCGACCATGTTACTTACGAAATGGTGACTTTAAACGAGACTGCTGAAATTCTTTTTTCAGTAACTTGTTTGTTAATATTTTTTCTCGTTTAAGAAATTCGTAGAGCCTGCTCATATCGAATCATCCCCTTATGCAGGTGTAGCTGCAGGACTGTAGCTCTCCGAAAAATATATTGATAGACGAGTCTGTCAAATTATTTTTTTGGAGAGCTACAGATTTGCAGCTAATGCAGGTGATGAAGGTATATTGCTGCATAAGTAAGGGAATGTAACGATTTTTAAGTCATCACGTTTATCAAAAAAATTGGTTATTAGAATACTATTAACGTCTTTTTTCAAGTAAAATATATTATCTAAATCACAGGTACTTGTGGACAGCCCCCCCCCCCCCCCCCCCCCCCCCTTGATATTCAACTCCGGGGATTATTGGACATTTTTTCACAAATTATAATTATTACACATATTCATAATGTGTACAATATGAAAAAATCGTCAAAACCCCCAAAAAATCGCTCCACAAAAAAAAATACCCCACTATACATTATAAGAGTATAGTGGGGTATTTTTTTTTTTTTTTTGGCCAACGGACTATATTTTGGCCAAAGTAGTTTTACAAAATGGCTAAAAACAATGTACAGTGTATAAATCATATTTTTCATACATTTTAATAATAATCTCCTAAAATAACTAAAAGAAAGGCCATCATCTTGCACGAAAATAAACAATTTTTATACTTCTATATACATATACATTTATTAAATAACTATAAAAAGACAGTCATATTGTGTTGAAAAGTTATTTCCAATAAGCATACATTTTGTCGAATTTCTCGTATGTACCCCTAACTATAAAAAGACCATTATTTTGTGTTGAAAAGTTATTTTCAATTAGCAAACATTTCTCGTACTTGCCCCTAAACATAGAGAGATCATATATAAAAAGTGCATAAATTTGTTCGATATTTATGCACTTTGAAAATAGATTTTTTTTTTCAAAGTACATTAACTTGGTCCCAAATTTAACGCACTTTGATTTTTTTTTCAAATTGCATTGTAACACTGCTCTCTTATATTAGATATTTCAATTCGGCCATTTTCTATTTTTCGGAACTAAAACTAGAAAACAAAATCCATATCCCAAGTCTAAATATGCCAGTTGTATGCATTTCCCTATTGCACTTCAAATTTATAGCACGAACATTTCTCAGTTTCAGTAGAAAAAATACAAAATATTGACTGCTATACAGACTATCATTTTATTTCATAACATACAGTAGTAGTGTCAAAGAATTTTCATTTTACATTGTAGAAATCCATCTTATCCATCATTTGATCAATGTGCTTTTCTCAGTCTGCCAGGGTTTAGGAACATCGCTGTATTATACATACAAATACTTATGGCATAACCAAGACATATACATGTGTAAAACAGTACATTCTGTCCTTTTTAGGTTTTGACTGTTCAATATGTTTCAGTATGTTTGTCAGTTATGTGTTTCTATTATTCTGTGACCCTAGCTTAGGTACAGATCATTATCTATAATATGGTATGTGCTAGTAACTGCTTTCTCACTTTATAATCAGCTCTAGAATGTTTTCTATAGCTACAATATTTCACTTTTATGTGCTTATATTTTTTAGTCAATACATGTTTTCCTTAAAATTCATTTTTGTTTCTTTTTACTTACAGCATGCACGTGTATATTTTCACTAAACTTTATGTTTATTTGTTAAATCACTTCTTAAAAGCACTCTTATACCATGTTTTATTTATTTAACTGTATAAATATGCAGACAATATTGTCATCATCATCATCATCTTCCTTTACACCCTGTGGTGTGTTGGGCAGCAACAAAATTCCTCCACCCTTGCCTGTCCTGGGCTAGCCTTGTCAACGATCCCCAGGTCTGGTGCATTGCCTTCATCTCGCCTTCTACTGTCCTTCGCCATGATGTTCTAGGCCTCCCCCTCTTTCTTTTGCCCTCTGGTGTCCAATGCAGTGCTGTTCTAGTTGTTGACTGGGGGTCTTTTCTGAGAACACGTCCAATCCACCTCCATCGGCACTTGGTTATGATGGTACCCATGTCCTCTTGTTTGCATCTGCTCAGCAGGTCTTCATTTGTTACCTTATCGGGCCAGACAATATTGTACATGAACATAATTATTGGAAAGTTCTTTTAGGGCATTTTATGGAACGCCGTCACTGCCTTATAGCAGAACACTACTATTGCATTGTGTCAACCTTCCATTACATTATGTCAACTCTTTATGACATTAACCCACACTAGAGGTACTGTGAGCGATGAGCTCACTAAATGATACCCCCCGCCTCCCATATGGTTATAACTGGTGAAAAAGTCCATGTTTTCCTGTGGCCGGGAAACCCAAAATATGTGTCGGATCAAAAAGTAAAATAGGAGGTGCACAATGGCAACATATAATAAAGATTCTGTGAAAGTTTCATCAAATTTCATTCAGTGGTATGAGAGGAGTTGCGGATAAGAGATGGGTACCCCAAAGCGTAACAGACGGACGGACGGACAGAAATACCGATTACTATATACCCCCACTTTTCAAGCGGGGGGTATAACTACTATTGCATTGTGTCAACCTTCCATTACATTATGTCCACTCTTTATGACATTAACCCACACTACTATTGCATTGTGTCAACCTTCCATTACATTATGTCAACTCTTTATGACATTAACCCACACTACTATTGCATTGTGTCAACCTTCCATTACATTATGTCAACTCTTTATGACATTTACACATACTACAATTATATTTCTTCAACTTGCATTTCGTTATGTTTACTTTTCATGCGATCGTAGTTTTTATTAACTGATGTGAAAAGCTCATACCATACTGTGCGCACTCTTCTACATTATGTCGATTCACTATTACGTTATGCGAAAACGGGTATCCTCGGCCTTTATATGAGCATAACGTATTTTCAGCGTTCCGCAAGCACTGAAAATGGCGGGAGAAAAACTGTCGTAGAGGAGATTCTCAGCAATTTGGGAATGACATCTTTAAATGAAAACTTTAAGCGACAAATGATTGACGTGCAAAGCCTTAACATTGCGACTGTGAATTAAAGTCACATCGAAATTCAGTGGTGTTTACTTTAATCTCATAATTAAATAAATCAAATATTATGAGTTGTGCAGCAATCATTTTTTTTCTTTTTATTTTGATTCTTTTTCTTTTTATTTTGATTCTTTTTTTTAATAAAAGTCTTAAACTTTGAAGGACATTGCATTAGTTTCACAATAAGCTTAGCTGAATTAAGTTGAAAACTTTTTTCTATAAAACTATAAAGCCTGAGAGCTTCTCCGCTTTCCGCCCTTGGTCTCCAACCATATACCGTCCCCCTTGTTTCAAGATTCCCATATCTGTCACTGATATGTGCCCATGCATGCTTAAAAGCTTACTAAGGCATATTCAATTGATTTAGATGAGCGACTGGTAGATTTTTGTAATAGAATTCTGGCCCTGGAATGATTAAAAAAAATTACTAACTCTAGTGACGTAGCATCTTTTTTTTGAAAGAGGAGGTCAGCCAGAAAAAAAATCATTTACCCGAAAAAACTTGACAAGCCAAGAAAAAAAAAGCCCAAGCCCGAAAATCCTATTTCGGGGAGAGGGGTCCAACTTCGATCAGTCCTATTTTTTTCCAGATATATTACAATACCCTTAGTGGATTATACTTCAACAAAAAGTGGGGGTGGGGGCTGTACAGTTTCAATGAACATTACATTTTCTATAGTAAAGTTATGTCTGAGAAAAGAGGGGGTGTGTGTGATATTATGTGCCTGTAATTTATCCTAATCAATCAGGACCCCCCCCCTTCTTACCAGTCATTAAATCACAGTCGTCAACATTCATTATATACTAGATATACAGCTTTTAGATAATGTAAATGTTTTTTAACATCAGGTAATGAACTTTTGGAATCAACACGATAAAGAGTTAACACAATATAAAGATATTTTTAAATCACGTAAGAAAGAGTTGACATAACGTAATTACATATCCACATCACGGAATGGAGTTTTGACATAATGTAATAAAGTATTGATATAATATAAAGATATGTTCACATTGTGTTATACACTTTTTACACCACGTAATAAAGCACTGACATAAAGGTAAGATGTGTTCACCTCATATTATGATGCCTTCGCCGTAAAATAAAGATAAATCCAAATCACGTAATAATGCTTTGATATAATAGAAATATACACTCTCAAAAAGGAATGGGCTTTTGACTTTGTGTAATGATAAGTTTAATTATAAAACACAATTTACTTGAGTAATGCAGTTTTGACCTCACATTTTAAAGAAATGAAATGATGTAAAGAGAAATTCATTTCATGCAAGAAAGTTTTAACACAATGTAAACACATTATCACTTCATATAATGAATTTTTTACTTCAAGTTATGAAGTGCTGACATAATGAAAGGATGTATTTACTTCATGTAATGCAGCATTGACATGATGCTAAGATATATTTATATCATCTCATAAGAAATGGACATAAGGTAAAGATATGTTCACATCACGTAATGATAAATTGACATAATAAATGCATAGTTGTATGCTATAAGGCAGTGATGGCGTTCCATAGCATTTCAAGCGTTGCAATATTTGATCCATCGTCGGAAACCCACGGGTGATCTCATCTTGCATAAGTGATAAGTAAAAACGAGATCACCGACGATGTATTTGATCTTTTACTGTATTATTTTCAATTTGTATAATATAATTCTTATTTGTATAATTTTACATTTGTATTTACTAATTTTCAAATTTGAATTTAAGACATTTTTTGTATTCTATAATCATATTTTTGAGTTGTAAAAAAGTTTACTTGTATTGTATCAGAGGAATTGTTATTTGTTTCCGCCCATAGGATTTCATCAGTCAAGTTAGATAGTCTGTATCGTGTTCAGAAAGGAGTACGATGTTTCAAAAAAAAAAAAAAAAAAAAAAAAAAAGGAAAGAAAGAAAGAAAGGAAAAACACTGTTTACGTTTACATTGAGTTCAAATGTCATTCTTATGATCATGCTATAAATTAAAAAAGGCACATACTATGGGGAGATGCACACACTGAGCATATTTAGACAGGTTAGTGATTTATTTTGTTTATTTCCTAATAAGATCGTAAATTAAGGCAGGTCCACCCTTTTACGGATCGGTTTTAATTTTACACACCGATATAAAATTTTGATTATCCTTGTCTATTGAAATAAAATCTTTTTGGATGATTGAAAATGATTTAGCAAGTATATATTTGTTTATTATAGTGTCATTGTGCACACAAAGCATTAATGTACATTATTTATAGGAATAACCACTTTGCACTCTGTCCATAGGATCTATATATGTAATTTAGTACATACACAGACATTCTTAATTGCCATTATGGACCTAAAGCTTTTAATTTTTTTTTAAACAAACTAACTTGAGATCTATTTATCTTTAATTTTTAGCCTATATCATCTTTTTAAATTTACTTTTCATAAGTTTTATTGAAAAAATAGATATTCCAAAAATGGGGGTATGGGTGTTCAAAAGGCTGTTTTGTAAAAATTTTCTGGTCAACCATAATAAAGTATGTTTTTCTGCTAACCTAAGATATAATTCTAAATAATTGTGAAGAAAAAATAGCATATAAACATAAAAGATTTTGAGAAATATTTAAAATAAAGATATTTTGAGCTTTTTCTCTGAAAGATTTTGACACAATCAACATCAATTATTTAGTGTTTTCAAATAGAAGTTTCAAATATTTTCTTGACAAATGAATATTTATGATTTTCCTAAGTTTTAACAATAATTGGATGTGATTTGGTACATAGCTAAATAAAATATAATGTTACACTTCTATATGTCGAATTTTGACTGTTGAATTTTTAGAGGTATATACTCCGAGACATGTTGCATGAAAATTAACCTGCAAAGATATGTTTTTTATGGGTATTTTAGTTAGATTATGACTTATTCAAGATTTTCAAATAAAAAAATAAACAGTTTGACAGAAAATTCTGAAAGTACGGACCTACGTCTTAACTCCGGATGGCCCGCCTCCTCTTCTTCAAGTGTCCCCTTTGGCTCCTCAGTCCCTCTGTACTCTCACGTTTTCCAGGCTTTCGCGATTTTGAAATATCAAAATCGCAAAAAAGGAAAACATCAGATATTGAAATATTTGACGTTTTCCAGGCTTAATAAAAGACAGGAAAACGTCCGAGATTTTGGACCACTCCCTCTGAATCCGCACCCCTTTTTCCTTTTTGAGTGGGAATACATATGTAACAGCATTTACTTTACTATTTTACTTTATTTTGCAACAAATTAATATTTTGCACATGCTTGCATATTTTTTTGGGGGGGGGGGGGGGTCATGGGGTTGGGCTGGTGGTTCTCTATCTTACGTTTACTCTGCTTTGGGGGTTCGAAAGGATTAAATTATATTTACCCTACGTAGCCGGTCATGATGAGGGGTTTGTCCAAAGACAGAGTAATTGTATTCTAGACAGCTAGTAGGCCTACAGCCAATATCTAAATAATTTGTACTTACATTTTGGCGGTACGTATGCATATACCACATTCACAGTTAAGACAAAAATTATTAATTCCAGTCTCAAATACGCCATTTATCACATGTCATGAACAATGAAATGTCAAGGCAAATAATGAAGTTAATCAAAAATTATTTAATCAAATTAATGAGCAACAATCTCGACTGTTTACATCCGGTTATAAGATACATAATAGTTCGTTCTAGGACATTTCGTACTAGTTAAATCCTGGGTCCCACTATGGTCGATTAAAAAAAGATATTAGTTGTTATCGTAATCCAATGAAAAAGAGAGGAGACAGAGAGAGAATAACAGAATAAGGAGGTGTTCTTTGACAATTAATGGTTTATTAAAAATACCATGACATCAAAGAGCCATGACACCAGTCAGTCAGTATTTCAGAGGCCTTGACCCAAATTAGAAAACGAGCAGTAGATAACCGCTGCATTGAGTATATTGATAAAGTTCCTTCCCTCTCCTGTGTTCTTAGGCCTGTCAGAAATAGTACTCTACCGGTGTTGTAATGTAGAATTTCCTCTATTTTCTTTAGAGAAGTGGACAGGCTTTCGCCTGGATGTAGGCGAAAGCTTGTCCACTTCTGCAAAGAGAATAAATTCCCCATGGTCAGCTTTGTCCCGGAATCAAAAGAACTTACGACTTAGACCAAAACTTCTAGTTATTGTAAAAGTTTGCAAAATTAATAATTATCTTTGAAATTGTTTGTGTAAAAATATCTTATCACGTTCCTTTAAAAAAGTTGAAAATAATTTTCGATATAATATTTATGGCACGCCAAATTCACAAAAATGAGATAAACCTAGTTTCACAATTGATAAACTAGGTTTATCGACTGTAAACTATAGTTTACAAACCGTAAACTATAGTTAACGATTCGTTAAGAATAGTTAACGATTCGTTAAGTATAGTTTTCATCTGTAAACGGTCGTTAACTATAGTTTACGAATGTTAATCTAAGTTTATCTGTCTGAATAAAGCGTTAACAATAGATTTTGTTGATAAACATAGATTCACGTTTGTAAACTATAGTTTACAATCGTAAACTATAGTTAAGAGTTGTTAATCATAGTTTCAAAATCGTGAAACTATATTTATCAGATCGTTAACTATAGTTAGTGTTTTGTAAACTATAGTTTACAAATCGTGAAACTGTATTTATCAGTTAATCTATGTTTTGCAATCGCAAATGATCGTTTTCGGTGTTAAGTATAGTTTACGGTTGTGAAACATAGATTATCGCGTTAACTATGGTTTACAGATGTAAAATATAGATTAACGTTGTTAACTATAGTTTACAGTCCGTAAACTATAGTTTACAACCGATAAACCTAGTTTATCGACTGTGAAACTATGTTCAGCTTATTTTTGTGAATTTGGCGTGCCATAAATATTAATTAAAAAGTTATATGAAGAATTAAATTTGGTTTAAGTCGTAAGTTCTTTTATAAATTGGGCCCCTTCACTTTAGAGTAAGAAATCCCACATCAGAGTCAATTTTTCCTCTCTTTCCTTCTTAGAAAAGTATTTCCCATCCTTTAATTATCAATGTTGAAATCATTTCGACAATCAAAGTCCAGTCTGCGTTGGCGTGTCACCAAATAAATAACAGCATATGCAACACATTTGGTGGAAAGGTACGGAAGCGTATTAGGGCCGCAGCAGTATCTTTTATTAATTTGTTATAACAAATTATTATTTTGTTATAACAAATTATTATTTTGTTATAACAAATTATTAATTTTATGTAAAAATTTAATAATTTGTTACAACAAATTAATAATTTGTTATAACAAATATATTGATAATTTGTTAAAACAACTTGATAATTTGTTATAACAAATTATTAATTTGTTTAAACAAATTGATAATTTGTTATAACAAATTACTAATTTGTTATAACAACTTGATAATTTGTTTAAACAAATTGATAATTTGTTTAAACAAATTGATAATTTGTTATAACAAATTACTAATTTGTTTAAACAAATTGATAATTTGTTATAACAAATTACTAATTTGTTATAACAAATTGATAATTTGTTATAACAAATTAATAATTTGTTATAACAAATTGATAATTTGTTATAACAAATTACTAATTTGTTATAACAAATTGATAATTTGTTATAACAAATTGATAATTTGTTTAAACAAATTGATAATCTGTTATAACAAATTAATAATCTGTTATAACAAATTAATAATTTGTTTAAACAAATTGATAATTTGTTATATCAAATTGATAATTTGTTATAACAAATTACTAATTTGTTATAACAAATTACTAATTTGTTATAACAAATTGCTATTTTTGGAAATTTGACATGTACACAGAACTATGGAATCTATATCAGATTAGAAATCATTGAAATATTGAATTTGTGAAACAATAAGCATACAGTCTGCAAAGTTGACCTATATGTTCCTTCTAGCATCTCAGAGTTTTCACTTCAAACAACAATGTCATGATGAATTGCATCAATGTCCTAGATTCTATTCCTTATACTAGTAGCTTATTCTTAGAAGCTTTAATGAAAGTTTGTCCATACGTGCCCCCCCCCCCCCTTTCCGACTCTGCACATTCATATCACCCAATTCGTATGCTAGGAAAAATATTATCTTATTTGAGCCATGCAAAAGAATGTTACAATATAAATTGTTTTATTATATCCCCCCCGCTTGAAAAGTGGGAGGGTAAACTGTAATCGGTATGTCCGTCCGTCCGTCTGTTACGCTTTGGAGTACCCATCTCTTATCCGCAACTCCTCTTATACTACGAAGTGAAATTCAATGAAACTTTCACAGAATCTTTATTACATAACATATTGCCATTGTGCACCTCCTATTTTACTTTTTGATCCGACACATATTTTGGGTTTCCTGGCCACAGCTAAACATGGACTTTGTCTTGATAAGCATATGGGAGGCGGGGGGGGGGGGGGGTATCATTTAGTCAGCTCATTGCTCACAGTATCTCTAGTTTGTGTTTTGATTTTGTTCATTTTCACCCCCCCTTCTCTCTCTCTCTCTCTCTCTCTCTCTGGATTCTTTTTTACATGTGATATGATCTACTTTGAATATTGCTTTTCGACAGGCATTTATGTCTACTGTTCAACCCAATTCATGAGTAAAGAATAAAATCTTTAAACCAAACCCAATTCTATATATGCAAAATCCTGGATCTGCTCCCGTGGTGAACCTCCATGGTTTCCTATAAAGCTGTGAGCAACAGAGGCACCATTGACCAAATGAATTTGCGGATAAATTATCAAGAAAAAATACATTCCGTAACAACCTTCCCCGGAAAACTAAAGAAAAAATAAAACCCACAATATTCTTGAGTGGGTATCTCTTGGTGAAATTTGATATTAAATTCCTAATGTGTCATTCAATTCTTCTGTATGCATGTAATTTTTATAATTTTTATAATAATAATAAAAAAAAAGAGCCTGTTGGAAAAGCTCTCAATAGTCCCACTAAGGCTATCTAAATTTAATTTTTTGCCATTTTCTCCAAAACTGCGGGACATTTGCAAATTATTTTTCATTTTATTGGCAATAAAGTAGATGAGGGATTTTTTTTTAATTTTAATTTCCGAATTTTCTTTAAATTAAAGAATTTTTTTTAATCACAATATACTTTCCATTTTATCAAATTACTATTTTCCACTGCTTAAACAAATTAATAATCTGTTATAACAAATTAGTAATTTGTTATAACAAATTGATATTTGTTATAACAAATTATCAATTTGTTATAACAAATTATCAACTTTTTGTTTATCAAAAATTGATAATTTGTTAAAACAAATTCAGAACGGATTTGTTATAACAAGATTTCAATTTTATATGGCCTAAAGCCTTATTTTTACAAATAATCACATTTGTTATTTAAGGAATAAACTTGGATTCTTGGCCAGATTATCGAGTATAATATGGTTTGGGTGAGTTTTCGCTTTTTAATACGCGAAGCGGGTTATAAAAAAGCGTAAACTGTTATAACATATTAATAATTTGTTATAACAAATTAATATTCCTTATAATTTAATTTTAAAATAATTAAACAATTTGGGATAAAAATTGTGTAATTTTTATAACAAATTCAAATTTACCGCGGCAATAATACAACCGTAGTAACGAAAAGTGATAATTTGGAACACTCAGGGGAGGTAAAATCTGATACATAGATTCTAGTTAGCCATGATGCTTAAGATTTTACTTTATATATAGATCGAGCAACTGTTTGAAGTTAAAGGTACATTCATTAAATCCAAAATTTTTCATGAATGCGACAAGGAGGGTCTGGAAAAGGGGATTGATGGATACAGATGATTCAGCTGGTTTCATATTTTGTTTATTGGGGTGTGTCCATATACTTGAAAATTTACCAGATTATACAAAATGTTATGACAACCAGATTTCAACCCGTTAAGCTTTTGGAAATCAACCAATGAGAGATAAAATTGAATATCTTTACAAACAGGATTAAATTATTTAAGGAATGACTCTGGATATTATTGAGATCATAAAAGTTATGAGTATAATCTGGTTAGAAAGTGTGCAAAACCATTTACGCTTTATAATCCGCGAAGCGGATTATAAAAAAGCAAAATGTTAAACTGATGAAGCTACAACCATTTGAAAACTTGTCCTCGATAATATGGCCAAGAACATTTTAATCTCTTTTTATAATTTAATTTTAAAATTTTTAAACAACTTTTGATGTAAAATTGTGTTGTTTTATAAGTTCAAATTTACCGCGCAATAATACAACAGTAGTAACGGAAGTGATTTGAAGCGAGGGGAGGTAATGACTGATACATAGATCTAGAAGCCATGATGTTTTTTAATGAGGTAAGAACGAGTAATTGATTAAAGTTGAAGGTACATTTATTAAATCTGTATATTTTCCATGGATTCCGAGGACTGGAAATGAGGGGATTGCATGGATATGATGTTTAAGCTGGTCGTCAAGGGGGTGTGTAGCGCGCTTACCAAACCAGATTATACAAAATGTTATGCGTTCCTTTTTGGAAATCAACCAATGAGAGGCGAGATACAAATAAAAATAAATTATAAGCCCATACTTTGGCACCAATATTTTGGCATTTATGAGTCAGACATGAAAAAGAAGACCTTGACACTTT